TGGGATTGGCACCACTCTGCTTCCCAGGCTTCCCACATTTTGCTGACTATCCATCGCTTTATGTCCTGTAGTGGCACTTCGTCGGTGTAACGGGGGCCAGCTGGTCCAGACCCTGCCAGGCTGTCGGCGTCGCTATTTCCTGGGATACCGCAGTGCCCAGGGATCCAGGAAAACATCGTGTTCGGAGGTGTGGCCTCCACAATATGGTCTCCGATGTAAGGGCTTGTATCACGCTGTACGAATCGGATAGCACCAGTATGGGCCGGTCTAAGGGTGTTGTAACGGCAACAAAGATCGCCGCAGCTTCGGCGGAGAAAACCGAGCATTGTGGCGGTAGGCTGCTACTTATCGGTGCTGAAATTCCGGCTACTCCAATTCCGTCCCCCGCTCCGGAAAACGATCCGTCCGTGTATATGTGGGCATGGGTTGGTAGTCCGAGCCTAGCAGTTCGGCTATTGTTCTCTTCAGCGCTGCAGAGTTATCTCCAGCCTTGAACCTGGTTTTTATCCGACTCTCTATTTTTGGTGGAGGTATGCGCCAACTTTTGTCTTCGTACCAGTGGACCTTGGCCACTGGGAGGAGCTCCGAATTGGCAGTCATGCGGAGGAGTCTGTTCCCCTCATCGAGGAAAAAGATCCTGTCATTTCCGGAGGTCATTGTGGTAAAGGCAGCGGCTTTCGTTGCGATTGCTGCGGTTATACGATGGCGGAAGGGCAGAATACCCGCTTCGATACATGCGGCATCGGCGGGCGTTGACGCAAGAAGACCGGAGACAATCCGAACGTAGGTGTTAAAAGTTGGTGCTAGTATCTGCACGAGCTTTTCGGTGGCGATGCACGTCATCTCAATACCATAAAGTAGGCGACTATCGATGACGGCTCTTGCAACCCGGAAACGAGTGTCGCGATTATTAGACCTGTGGGGGCGAGAGACGGTGCGGATCAAGTTGATCCTACTGCGGCAGTCGTTCTTGATTGCCTTAAAGTGCTGCTCGAAGTTGAGGGACCGGTCAACAAGTACCCCCAGAATACGGACCGTCTTCTTCAGTGGTATGGGCTGGCTTTGACCTAAAATAGGTGGCCCGCTGACACGGTGCCGGGATGGACACACGTGGCACCTGACGCTTTTGGTGGCCGAAAGCTGGAAACCTACCGCGCTGGCCCACCTGGCTACAGCGGAGACTGCTGCCTGGGCCTTACAATAAGTACATCGTCAGTATACACGAAAATGTAAACATTTTTCGGCAGCCCTCCGAAAACTCCGTTCTTGGCCACAAGAAAGAGGGTAACGGTGATAACTGAACCTTGTGGGACGCCCATCTCTTCTCTGAAAAGCTGGGCCCTCGTGTTGCCAGCTGCGACTCTGAAAGAACGATCGGTCAGGAAATTTTTGATGGGTCCACACAGCCCCCAGTTGACAAGCTGCTCTAAGACGAGGGGCGTCCACGTCCCGTTGAAGGCCTTCGATATATCCAGCGAGACGATCTCGATGTGGAGACCGCTATCGTTGGCACTCTTGAGGACCTCCCCTAATGTTGCAAAATAAGTTGACGTTCCGTACCCTTGACGGAACGCGTGCTGTCGATGTTCTAGCAGGTTTTCGGCTTCAAGGAAATGCTTTAGCCTCCTGTTGACCATTCGCTCCAGGACCTTGGCCATACAGCATGTCAAGGCTATTGGCCGGAACTTGCTAGTTTCACGGGTTGTTTCATTAGCTTTTGGGATGGGAATGAATAAGCTCTCTTTCCACGACGCTGGATACGAGTTGGTGAGCCAGAGCTTGTTGAAAAGCTCCAGCATCCGTAGCTGACCTGGCGTTGGTAACCTTTTGAGTAGAGGGTACCCGATTTCGTCGGGACCCGCCGACTTTCCGTTGCTGCAGCGGGGAGAGGGCATGCTGCAATTCCTGCCAGAAGAATTCCTGGTTGATGTCCGAGTTTCCAGCGTCAGAAGAAACAGAGAAACTGGCGACACGGATTTCTTGCCGGCATTGATAGTGCGACTCATGGTAGTGACGGAGAGCGTCCTCGCGGTCGGGATGTCTGATAGGAAGGCGCTTTACACGGCGATGTGGTTTAGGCCGGGCTTTAACGGCTTTCCTCGTATCTTCATTCCACCAGCGTAGCACTTTTCGCCCCGGAACGCTGCTGGTCTTTGGGATGGTTGCTGTTGCTGCTTCGTATACCACTTCTGAAAAGTCTTCAATGCTGTTCGGATTACGCTGTAGTAACAAGGACTGAAAGGCTTCACCAGTTCATAGTGCCATCGGGACCTCCGTGTTGTCATCGGGAAGTTGGCGGTCGAAATTTGAACTTTGATGGGGTAGTGGTCACTACCATAGAGATCCGTGTTCGCGCTCCACTGAGTTTTTCCGGCAAAGCAGCGGCTGACAGCAGAGACGTCGATGGCGGAAGTATGCCGCCCGTTAAAGTTCGTGGACACACCGTCATTCAGAATCACCATGTCTTCCTTCTCGAAGATATCGACCAGGGTAACACCTCGAGGGTCGGAGCGGGGGCAGCCCCAGCTTGGGTGGTGCCCATTCAGATCCCCAACCAGGATGCGCGGTTCCGGTAGTTTAGCTATGGCTTCGCTGAGTTGATCGTGCAGGTTTGGCAGCCGTCCGCATGGCAGGTATGCACATGCGACGGAGATGTTCGCCGGTGCCGCCAGCTGGACACCAAGTATGGGAAGCTCGGAGTCCATAGCGACAACCTGGAAAGGTATCGTCTTCAAAACCCCGATGGCCACGGAGTGCCGGAAGTTGTTTCCCCGTTTTGCTGTTCACGTATACTTACCGCCTAGAGAGCGGTTCATTTGGTATGTTGTCGCTTTGTTAGTTTCCTGGAGTGCGATGACCCAGGGGGGATCGTCGTGGCAAAGAAGCTCTAGATCACCAATGTGGTTCAGGAACCCGTTAATGTTCCACTGCAGGATGAAGTTTACTGGCTTGGGCAAGGCAGGAGTGGGGTACGAGCGCGCCGCGATTGTGGAGCTAGTGTCATCGCGACGGTGATCTATATCGTAGGTGTCCGATCCATCGTGATTGTCGGAGCCAGCTGACAGATTGATGTTGTATGCTGAATGAGACAGGGCCCCACCAAGGGCACGTGTAGAAGTTCCACCCACCCAGGGCAGGGATGACCCAACAGAGAGAGAAGAGGTACGTACTGGGTGGCGTACTGGGTTTTGCAGCTTCGAAGTCCTAGTTATAAATTAGTTCGGTATTTCAAATATCTGAGTCCCAAAGTCTTGTTGAACGGATACATTAGTATCTCTTATTAGCATTTTTCGAAATCTGGATTTTAAAAATCGTTTTATACTTTTTTATTTTCTTCATAACGATTTACGAGGTTTATAAATTATTATATTATCACATATGAGGAACATGATCTTCAAAAGTTGAAACTTTTTTTAGTATTATACATGTACATCGATCTGTCAAAGTATTTAACAGTTTTAACAGGTTAAAAACAACCCAGAGAACCGAGGGAATAGACAAAGTTTTCTTGCAAATGCTCAGCATTTTCCATTTTTTCCCTCAATAACACTGTTGAACTACTGAATATATCTTTGAAGAATTATTTTTCACGTTCAAATAATTATATAACGCTTTAAATGTATTTTAATACTTACTATATTAGCTTAACCCTTCTGAGCACATATTCATCTGGAGGTTGGCTGTTTTGTTATGGCTGTAAAATCCAATTCTTATCCGATTTTGATGATCTATATGAAAGCTATCTTTATCTACTTTCATTTCTTTTGCGAGCGGGAATCGGTTCCAAACAAAATACATTCATGTTCACTCTTGCTTTTTTGTGGTTAACCTCCCAAATAGCAATATATAAAAAGGAATAAGTTTAGTTTAACATAACAGACGCGAACTTCAACTCAATTAAACGTACTTTTCGTCGAGTAAAGAACTTTTCAATTTCGGAGCACTTAAGTTTACATGAAATATTTATTTACGTCTGATCCTTTATGTCAAAGATCGATTTCGTAACGTGTAAAATTAGTAATTTCTAAGTGTGTAAGGGGCGCATTTTGCATTGAGAAAATCTAGAAAAAATAGTCTAGTCCAACATTTAGATGGCATTTTACCAAAATATCAATTCCCTATGTGGATTAGACGGAAATCTTCCTTACCATGGGCATTTTACCGTCATCTCCACAATCAACGTTCTTAAGGAGACGCATCATCATTTTTAAGGAGACGCATGGTCCCCTTGCCCAGAGGGATTGACGAATGCTAGCTAGTACTGGTGGAAGAATTGTGACACATATTGACACTGGCAGCATTGCTACGCCATCATTGCCGTTTAGGGTAAACGCTCCAACGAACGGCATCTAGTGCGTAGGTGCACTCTATTATAGTCCAAAGTTACAAACCTTGAGTTATCTGAAATGTATCCAATTCATTCCACAAATCAAGCAACGATGTAAGAGCATTGTAAGCATAACTATACATTCAAAACCACCACCATCGAATCAAGCGTGCATAATCCTCCTAAGCAGCACATCGCGCGGAACGGAAAACACAGCTCACAGAATACTCCCACTCACGCTTCTAGGGACCAGGGCTAGAGTAGAGGAGGTTCAGGGAATAACCTAACCGCGTTGGATTGTGTCGGTGTCTGTATCGGAGTGCTGTTGTTGTTTTCTTTCTTTTCGCTTCAAAAGCGTGGGGTAGCTATTTTCTTTTTCTTTTATTGTTGTTGCTGCCTTTAGAGGCTTCCCACACGATTTGAACAACCAACAACTGACAGAGCCAAGATGTCTACAGAGTCTTGCTTCGCTCTATCTCTCTATGCCTGCTGAGTTGCTTCGAAGTCGAGATTCTATATCAGCAACAAAGCAACAACCAAACAACTCAAATTTGAACTCGGAACGTGGAGAGTGATGTCGTGAGTGAGAGAGAGATAGAGAGGGAGAGAGCTGTGCTACTTGGCTGGTTGGGTTGGATTGGATTGGAGTCCGCTGGCAGTTGACTTGGATGCGCTTGAACAGTTTGTTCTCGGAGTTTTCGCTGGTCAGAGGCGACTTTTTGTCCCTCCGCGCGCGCAGTGAGCAACCGCACTGAAGAAGGCAGCAAAAGAGAGAAAACGGAGGTGTAGTGAGCGGAAATCAAATAAAAATATAGGAAAAAGTGTGATTTCGAAGCGGGATTTTACGGATTTGGTAGACCGAAGGTGGTAGGATTTAGTGAAGACCGAAAGTGAAAAGTGGAAAATTTGTCTTCATCGTGATAGCGAGACGAAAATCCGACCGGATGTGCCTGGAAAAAGTGATTTTTTGCGTACTATTTTGACACGGATTGCCTAGAGAGAGTGTAGAGTGCTACTACAAGGCAGTCGAATATCAGCAGACAAAACACTACCACAGTGATAGAGGGTAGGGTGTTGGTACGTTAGGCTGGCTGGTTGGCCTGTTAGTGCCCGCGATGACGACGGTTAGCTGTATTTAGAAGCATCGTTGCGCTGGTGTGCACGTCGAGCACACCACTCTGAACGGCATGATCCCATATAGAACACTGGTCGGGAAACCGTACTCAGCGAGCTGTAGCTGTAAATGCGCGACATATTAGTGCGCGCGGGTATATTATTGTATCCGCCGTCGTTTTGGTTCTCTCTCGTACGGGGTAATGAGATGTGTTTATATAAGTACACAGAAACGCAAAAATAAATTCATTGAAATTGAAAATAATTCTAAAGTGAGGAGACAGTTTCCAACATGAATTATCATCGAGAAATTCCTTCGATTCGCTCGGCAAAAGTGCGACGACGACGACACTCGTGCGAGGAAAATAAAACAAGCAATTAATTTCGAGAGAAGGAAAAACTACTGCTAGGTAGCTCTAGCGAAGGCAAGAAATTAGTGTAAATATCAGCGACGTGATTAAAAATAAAATGCCCAGATTAATTGCCGTCGACGTCGTTCTCAACGTCGTCGTCGGCATTTGGATGCTGTCTCTGGCGACGACCACGGTGGTTCATGCGTCGTCGTCGAGCGATGGCCAGTTGACGGATTGGGACCAGGATGCTACCGGGATGGTCGCCAGTGGCGACTGTCCCCGGCTCTGTTCGTGCCTTGGAAATGTCATCGACTGTTCGGAGAAAAGCTTGCAAACGCTGTTCCCCATTCCCCTGTGGGTGGAAAATCTGTAAGTAGCAATACCCAAGTCGGAACGAGACTTCTATTAGGAATGAAATCATCACAATCGTTGGACAATTGGTAATTGTTCTGAGAAAACGTGGAACTTGAGGCTCAATTGATTCGCCTCCAAGGAGCGACGTTTGGTTTGTCTAGCTTTTAAGTTTGAGTGCTGCAAGCATTGGGTCGAGTATTTATTTTATCGCTTATCGGAAGAATGGTTCACATATGGCTTCGTTGTTGGAGCCGAGTTGTGTACTATGTGGATATGACGGCGGCGGCTGGGGTGTACGCGCACGAATAGGATTGTTGTGTATGGCTTTCGAGTATTTGTTCGAAACGCGCTCGTCCATCAATAAACACACCACAGTCAAAGCTTGTCTACTGATATATAGTCTAGTTTAGGAACAATCGTTTGATCTAGAATGTGGGTTTTTTGGGCACAGATTTGATGTTTGAATGCTAGTTGTTTATTTAGTATCATCGCTCCCAAGAGCTGTTTATGTAAGATCATTGGAAAGATTTCTACTAGGTATATGAAGAACTATCAAGTTCTTCAAAAAATAGGCTTCAAAATGCAGGGGTCATTTTTTGTCAACGACTGCAAATTATGTTGATGGTCCTCGTGGAATTCTTCACTAGATTAATTTGAAATAGCACAAATATTTCTCTTAGAATCTTGAATATTTGTTCAAGCAACTTTTCCATAGTACAGGCTATCAAAAATTTAGTCTGAGAACTAGACAAAAGTAGCCCTTTACCCGAGTCTGGCATTTTGAATATTTTTAATCTTATGAAATCGCCATGATCTATGAGCCATGCAAATTTTAACTTTATCAACTTATGTATAACCTAATGAAATAAAGCCGAAACTAATCACAAGTTTTTCTTTTGTCACTCGATGCTCGCACCAGTCGAGGGAGGGGGGATAAAAAAAAATAAAAAAAAAAAAAACATTTTAAATTTGTTTTACATTACGTCTAAACCATATATTTCAAACGCTAACATTTTTTCTTAGCCTTTGCATTAGCCTTATACTTCTTTGAAGCCGTGATTTTTGACACTAATACCACAAATGTTGACTTTATTATATACCCATTTCGCGCATAAGTTTCTGTATCCTTTCAAGCAAGAACATTGGTAATAATGTAGATGAACAGGAGCAATTGATCTTTGGGTATTGATAAATTCCGGATAAACCATCAAGCGGAATACCACAAACGTGACAGTTCTTATAAAAAACGTTCAGTTTTCGATAGTTCCTCCCTATCCAAATATAACTCAGTTTTCTCAACAATTGTGCTTGCTTCAAAAAATCTAAATAGACGTATGGATTCAGGAAGGTCTATTCAACAAAATCCAAGCGCAATATTCATAGGTAGGAGCCAAGCAGCTTGGCTGAACATAAAATCAAATTTCAACAAAAAAACCTAGTTTTGTCAATTTAAAGCTGGCTTTGTGTCAGCTTTAAAATCATCTCATATGAATTCAGAAAGGTCAATTCTATAAAATCTAAGCATAACTTTCAAAGGAAAAAAAAAACGCTTTTCGAATTACAAACCCGGTTTAACCTTCACTTATGGATTCAGCAAGGTCAATTCTATAAAATAAAAGCTTATTTTTCAAAAATATAACCCAAAATGCAATTTGGCAGAACCGAAAAACTAAATTACAATGAAAATACGTATGGATTCAGCAATTCTGTAAAATCCACGCCTATTTTTCAAAGGAAGGAGCCGAAATTCGACTTGGCTCAAAAATTGAAGAAATTCAACCCTCACGTATGGTTTCAGCAACTTTTATTCTATAAAATACAAGTCTATTTTTCAAAGATAAGAGCCAAAACTTAGTTCGACAAAACAGAAAAATCATTTTTATGAAAATACCTTCTATTGTGAATATTAACCAGGTTCGTTCTTCCGGTATTCAGCAACTTCCATTCAATAAAATCCAAGCACAAATATAAAACGATTGAACCGAAATCCAACCTGGCTTCAAACAAATCTACCATCACGAATGAACTCACAAAGGTCTATTCTATAACATCCAAGCCTATTTTTCAAAGGACAGAGCCAAAATCCATCTTGTCTGATCAAGAAACCGAAATTTCTATAAAAATAGTACTTTTGTTGATGTAAACCCAGTATTCTCAACAATTGATGTTATTCCATTTGGAAAATATAAGCTCAAAAAGTGTTAGAAAACTAGTTTGGACTCACTTCAGCAGAAAAGTTCAGACTCAGTTTTGAATCTGCTTTGAAAAGTGTCACCTCAGTTAGGAATTTCCTGAATCGTTTTTGATTTGGTCCCACTTCGAAAAAAAAAAAAAAATCAAACCAATTTTGAAAAGATTGGATTTAGCTCGGAAATTTGAATCACTGTAGAAAAGAATTGAATAATTAAGTATCATTGCAGCAGGTTTGTAAATTAAGAAATTTAGATCGAATGCAAAAATCTGGCGACTATGGTGGGCTAGGCCCATCGTAATAATGTCAGATAACGACCCACTGAGAATGGTTCTTGGTAGTGATCCGACTGGAACGAAGATGTGCGCAACGAATAAGGGGGATCGTTCAGATTGAAGACGGCTTACCTAGTGAGTTGCCAAAAAAGATTAGGAATGAGTTCGATAAAATCCGTTTTCAACAACTGAAACCGGCTGATTGGATTTCAAGGATCTAGCATGCCGAACCGGTCTAGTTCAAATTTATGTAAAAATTCTGTAAAAGAACAACATAATAAGATCTAGCAAAGCGAGTATCCATACCCAAATGAAATAGTGATACTCGAAAAATAAATATACACTGAAAGTTTTTTTTATTTCCCCCTTTATGATATTCCTACATTATGAAGAGGGAAAACCTCAAATTAAATTTATTGCATGGTAATTTGTTCTATGCACCCTATTTTTTATTGGGATTTTCAAGTTAAATTAAAATGCATAAATGTTTAAAAAAAAAATGAGAGGTTGTATCCAATACACGACTGTAGATTTTACGTAGGATTACGAACGGTAGTTATGATGTCACAGAAAAAGTATAGTAAATATTAAATTGTTTTCTTAACTCGTTATCAGTGAACACTTTCAATAGGTTGAAATTCGGAAGCAATTTGACTGTTTTTTTAGGTGCTCTGTCGATGTCCATGTTGTACAAGCCAATCTTGGACAAAATGTCTTGGATTTAAGCTCTTACTCTTTAGTTAACTCTTTTATTAGTCACTAGCTGAGTGTGCCCGGTCTTGCTCGGGATTCAATATTAGCTTGAGTTTATGCGCCGATTTAAAAAAAGCATGCTATATTGTACGTAGCCCCCCCCCCTATTATCTAAGGGGCTACGCCCTATGATTATCTCCTTATACCCCCACACTCGCCCCCACATGCCTAATTTGGTTCCATTTGCTTGATTAGTTCTCGAGTTATGCAGAAATTTCTGTTTCATTTGTATGGGAGCCCCCCCTTACAGAAGGGGGAGGGGTCTCGAACCATCATAAGAACCTTCCACGGCCCCAAAACCCCTGTATACAAATTTTCACGCCAATCGGTTCAGTAGTTTCCGAGTATATAAGGGTCAGACAGACAGACAGACAGAAATTCATTTTTATATATATATAGATTTGTGGTCTTGAAAAGGACCGATGGGTTGGAGATTTTGCTGGATGTTTTTGGAAATTATAGCTCTGCGGAAATGAAATGTGTATTAGGGAAAACACATCAATCACAGAATCTGAGCCTACCGAACGGTACCTACGTTTATACTTTTTGATGCAAATTTTATACCCCTTCTATTAAAAGAATTCGGCAAGGTTTTTTTTAAGCATAATGCTCTTAATAGGAGGGGCTTAAAATTTGCACCAAAAGGCATAAAGATCGGTACCGCCTGGTATCAATATTCGGCGACTGTTTTAGGGAAACCACTTTTCCCATCACGGAAACGCCTCGTTTTCTGATGACAAAATTACGCATTTACGTGCACAAAACGCACGGAATTTTTGTTTTATTCAATAGATAAAAAAGCGAATATTGATTGGAGGCATTTCTTGCTCAAATTTTTCCAATCGCGATCAATCATATAAATTCGTAATTTTTTTGCTTTTTTCTAGCGTCCTGGAGAAAACCTTACGAAGTGTCTCTGGTTTATTAACATGGTCATGTGGTATTCGGTCATTGCGAAAATTTGTATGTACCACTTTCATACTGTTATGGTGGTCCTGAAAAGGAACGTTTTGTCTTGATGGCTGAGTAAATAATGCTGAGCTATTAGGGTGTTCAACGCGGATGAGGCTGGCGAGCTGTATGTTGTTTGGAGCAATGGTGACGCGCTTGGCATAGATGACCCGCAGCGGTTCACGAAGAAATTGTTTCCGATCCAAAGCGGTGCGGCTTCTTTCTCCTTCTATGGATTCTCATGTGAGCTCTGCAGCTCGCTGCTTGCAGGCTGCCTTTCGTTGTGTACTGGAGAACAATGTTCAACGCCACACGCCGAAATCACTGCTGCTGCTGCTGCTGACACCGACGACCGGACACCACCACACACGATGAATAAATGAGCACCGTTCAGTGGGACCGGATGGAATTCGATTTTTAAATCTGTGTTAGGGAAAGCGCTTTTTGCAGGCAATCGGTGATAATTTCGATCCCCATTACAACAGTTGGACATTTGTGTATTTTTCATCTCGATAAATATAATTTACTCTATTAAAAGCTGTTTCAATATCAGCAGTGTAATGTATAGCTGACCTATTGAAAATTAATAAAGTGTTCATTTTAGCAGATTGCCCAAGCAACAATTTTGGTTTTATGAGAGTTCTGTAGACTATGATTTAGACTTGTAGAATGCTATAAATCCTCTATAAAGCTTGCAGGTTACTTGGGTGGTAGATACATTTCCAATCGTTTGGCTGTTTAGAATTAAAATCCATCTGCTATTGACAGAGTTATATGTGGGCAAAACCTGACCTCTTTTCGTAATGTGGTCGATTTTGGTTTTTTTTTTAAATTGCACCCCCAAT